TATTCACTTCTACCTAGAAGGGCAAATGAGAACAAGTAGTGCACCCCCAAAGCTGTCCTTAGAAACTGGATGGAGACCACTCAGCTGCAAAACCACCCACTGCAGTTCTCCTGGTTGAGAGGGGATATGGAAAGAGATGGCTCTTCTCCGTCCCTCCTACCACTCCCATCCTGGGAGAGGCATCCCTGCAAAACAGTCCTTGCTAGCACCAAGGCCTCTGGTCAAAGGCAGATGACCTACTGCCATCTTGTGGGTAACTAAACTAAAGGGGGAAAATATTTTGAATATACAGGTGTTCAAATGAATGTTCCTTAACAAATGATAAATCAGTAAGAGTCTCATTAAAACTACAACTGCTTCCTGTGCTAGCACCTAAAGGCCACCTGAATGTTATCAAAGAAGAAAATACTTACCAATAGCACAAATGACTCTGAAGAGCGAAAAGATATTCATTAAAACTCTCTATTGGCTTTTCTTGAAGAACGTAGTCAATTCGACGGCCTCCGTTCAGCATTCCAACCTTTCCTAAGTAGTCCTCTTCCTTGGAAAAATCTGGACTTTCAACAACCTTTTCTGCTAGAATTTAAACCATTTCAATATCAAAGTCAATCACTTAATCATTATCCTTTGACTTTAGCTGACTTTCTGGGCTCAGTGAGAATATTGCTTGACACACGTAGCAACCTGGGGAGCTACCAGGCTCATTTCCCATTCCTCCAAAGAGCCCGGGGAAGCGGGGCTGGTTACCAGAGAGAGGAGAAAGAGCCCACGAGCTGACAGAACTTTTGAAGAAAAGGGGTGAGAGAGCATTGCAGAAAGAAAGGAAATAGAATTAGAATCTGAAAAATTCAAAAACATCACGGCACAATGACCTGACATTGCAGTCAAGTCCATAACAACACAGTCAAACAGCAGCATCAGAAAAGATCGTTTCTCCGAGCGAGTCTTTCAAGTGCCTGAACATAAACTTGGTTCTCAACTCTGAGCTTCCGCTCTGGCCTTTGGAGTCTCAGTGAAACTTTAACATTGCAGAGTAAAAAGTTCAGCAACTATCAGGCAAAACCTCGTTAGAAAGGAAGACATGCATTTGTACTGAGTTGTACAAAATCCAAATCAGTATTTTAGCATAAAATATTTTCTTTTATAGGAGGCATCTCTACATTTTAACTAAGAAGGCTAGAACGAAAAAGCATCATTAAATGATTTATGGGTTACATTGAAAAAAAACATTCTGAAGAACTGGAAAGGTCTTAAATATTATCAAATTTACCTTCAACTTCTTGCTTTTCTTCTTCTTCTTTGATTTGATTGGCTACCTTCTCCAATTCTTCTTGCAGCTGAGTTGAAGAGGTATGAGCACGGGCAAACTCATTTAATGTCTGCCAGGCACTTTTCAGGGAGCTGATAAAACCCTGCTTCAAATCAGATCCCATGCGAGAGAGACTTTCTTTCAACTCTAAAGAGATGAAGACAACACATCAGGTCATCAGTCAGTGGGTAAAATTCTGCACCACAGAAATTAAAACTAAAGTTAACATTATTCACTGCCTAGTCCTCTCTTAAATGTCATATAGATGGAGTATCTCAACCAAAAACCTCCAACATGTTAAAATGTTTTGAGGAATCTTATCCCTGTCATTTCTGTAATGACTAAACCTGATCCAGCCAAAATCTATAAATTTCCTCTCTCCGAAAAAAAGGAGCTCAATACCATAAAAATGTAATTAAACATAGGCATGTGCTTTTTTTACTGTAAAAAGATGACTTTTTCTAATCTTTAACAGTGAAACAATTTTAAAATGTGAGGTTGTGATAAAACCTAATTTAAAAGTGAAGAAACTCTTACCCCTTCATCTTTTCTACTGTAGTCTAATAATTCCTATTTGAAATCAAGGTCTTTGAATATTAAATTTCTCATTTTGACTCTAAAAGAGTTAAATTTAAAGCATGATGAAAGAAAAAAAAACAAAAAACTTTCAAATAAGAGGGCATGATCACTTTTCCTTCTTTTAAACCATTAGCAGACATACGAGATACTTAAACCCCACTTAGAATCAATGGATGTTTTCAACATGAAAAGTCAGTCTTGTTAGTAAGGAAATAAACACCCACTTGACTTGAGAACGTCAACCTTATTTCTTGATGGTTTGGTCATTAGTTCAAATGCTACTCTGCTTCTCAATTTCAAAGATTATAACCAAATTCTATCAAAGTGTATGCATCATGTCACTTTATTACCACCTTCCCTGATTCCTACATGTCTCAGCAGTTAGAATGCTGTCAGGGATAAAGTCATCAGGAGAAGAAACTCATTATAACATTCCTTATAGCACCATCAATTAGGTAGTAAACAAGTTCTCAACATAGTAGGCACTGAACATTAATTCTGTAAGGAAGGACTTAGTGTTAATATTTTAAAAACGGGAAGGAAGGAAGTTTTACCAGTATAATATTTACTTTTTACCTAAATGAAGTCTTTTTCTGCCTTTGTGATGTGGAATGAGAACTGCTTTGAGGTCCAAATCAGGAACAATCATAGGTTCCAGTCTATATGCCACTGGATCAAGCTGTAAATAGAAAAATGGAAATTTATAAAAAATCTATTTTATTTTGAGTTATATACCTTAGTTGGGTTAAAAAAAAAACACATACACAAAACTGGCAAACCTGACATATTTACTTTTTTTCACACCTATTCAAAATACTGGTAATTGTAAGAAGACTTCCAAGTTTGTAGATAAAATTACTTTGCCACAAAGCAACAGAATTATCTATACTTATAAAAGGGTGATATGCCAATTAGACTGGATAGACTAGACATCTTCCGGACGTCCTTCCAGACAAAGCCATGGTGGCGGGGGCCAAGGCAGAGGCAGTTAGGGGTGATCAGGCTGGCAGGGGAGAGCAGCTAGGGGAATCAGGCAGGCAGGCAGAGGGGTTAGGGGCGATCAGGCAGGCAGGCAGGCAGGTGAGCGGTTAGGAGCCAGCGGTCCCGGATTGTGAGAGGGATCCCAGATTGGAGAGGGTGCAGGCCAGGCTGAGGGACACCCCCTTCCCGTGCACAAATTTCATGCACCAGGCCTCTAGTTTCCTTGAACAAAGGCTTTTTGGTTGAAAAGTTTATTGGAGAGTACTGGACTGTATCTATAAGAACAGAGTACTGAGTTGTACAAAATCCAAATCAGTATTAATTCCTGAGAAATAAGACTCTGAGAATCTATTAGGATAAAGAGCACAGCTTCTTCAGCTTCAAAACAGAAGTTAATTTAATTCACTCACTGGATGATAAATATTGAAGAATCCTTTACAGGTAGGAAGTCTGTAGTTCTCATCTATCCGATCCACTCCTCGAACAGTGAGAAACATACCAACTGGAGATCCCAAGGCAAAGAAAATCTCTGGCTCAAAGTCTAATGAGCTATAAACAACAGAAACCTAGAAAGAAACAAAGAGCAATAAAAAATGATCATAAGTTGACAATATATTAAGTGAAAACTGCATGTAATATAGAACATCGTAGCTGAGCCTAGGCTACTTTAAACAGGTTCAGAAAACTTACATTAGCCAACAGCTAAGCAAAATCATATCCTACAAAGCCTATTTTGTAGTAAAGTGACAACACAAAACCCAACATCCAGCACACACTGACTGTGGGCCCTTGTGGCAGCCTGGCTGCCTGGCAGCTGTGCTCCCCGCCACCGCCCAGCATCGCAGGACAGTGTGCTACCACATACACTAGCCCGAGAACAGACCAAACTTCTACATTCAAAATACAGTTCCTACTAAATGTGTATCACTCCTGAACCAGCATAAAGTTGAAAAATCGTACGTGGAACCATCGTAAGTTGGGGACGGTCTGTATTAATGAGGGCGATGGGGAGAGGGGCAATCCCCTGTGTTCTTAAAGTAAGCTAGAGAAAAGAAAATGTTTTCCTTAAGGAAATCATAAGGAAGAGAACACACATGTGCAGTATTGAAAAAAATCTGTATGTAAGTGGGCCCACGCAGCAGGAATGCCAACAGCCACAGCCGTTCAAGCAGTGAGTAGCAACAACTACCAACATTTTCTTTTATGCATCCTTTGTCCCAGCTAACCTTCTAGTCATTTAATTGAAAGAAAGAATAAAAAATGTGCACAGAAAAACTGGTTTAAAACTGTTCATCACTGGGTCGCTTAAAAGATTAAAACACTGGAAAGATCCTATATGTTCAATTTTATGGGCTGTCCTCCCAAAAAAGACCTTATTTGGCAAGTCTTATACTGATAATTAAGCTACAATAAGGTCTTAGGGTAGGCCCTGATCCAATATAACTGGTGTTACTATAAAAGGGTAAATTTGGACGCAGACAAAATGCACAGAGGGAAGATGATATGAAGACAGGAGGATGCCCTGTGAAAACGGAGGACCGGAGTAATGCATCTATAAGCCAAGGAACATGTGGCAAATCAACAGACACTCAAAAGAGGCGAGGAAGAGTTCCTCTCCATGGCCCTGCTGACACCTCCACCTTGGACTTCCAGCCTCCAGAAACGTGAGAGTAAATTTATGTTGTTTTAAGCCACTCAGTTTGTGGTACTTTCCTAAGGCAGCTGTAGGAAGCTACATCCAATAAGTAAATGTCAGAATAAAGCATTACCTTGAAAACAGTGAAACACAATGGTCGTTAAAAATAAAGTTTAGAAAAATGTTTACTGACACAGAATATATCCCTAATACACACAGTTGACCCCTGAACAACTCCAATGTGAACTGGCCCATGTTGTGCATGGTTCAACTGTATATTCTTTGAGAATAGCAGTACATGGTTTTAGTAAAGCATTACATACAGTATTTTCCCATATTTGTTAAAATATATGCACAAATAAAAGTCTAGAAGGTCTTCTTCAAGCAGCTAATGGTATTATGTTCTGGTTAAGGAAATTCCAAGGTTATATTTTAATCTTCATTTGCTTAATCAGTATTTCTTGGCTTTCTGATAATGAACAACACATGCTGTTGCTGTGGTTGGAATGCTTAAGAACATTTTGATCCAACCTGCCCACCTCAGCCCACCCACCATGGAGGTGGCAGGTGACTTGGGCTGGGGCAATCAACCTGTGCCCCATTCTCCAGGCAACAAGAATTGGTCCCGAATGGACTTGTGACTTAAACTACATCAAATAACACCCCTTCTTGAAATGTTCCTAACAGGACATACTAGCAGGGCAGATTCCTTTCCTTGTGACCATAATGGTGAAGGGAGATGAGCTCAAAGCTACTGACAACCGTGATTCCAGTTTCATGACAAAGGCCAAGTCCCAGAGAAAGGCACACAGTGAGTGTCCAGGTGGCATGGAGCTCATGGTTCCACACATCTCCTACACCCTGATCCTTCCTTCACAGGGAGGTGAGAAAATAGCTGCCTTTATTTGCTAGAGTCTGTTCAAACTTTCTCATGTTTAAAAAGAGAGACATTTTTAAAAGTCAATCTTTATGAATGAATTGGGCTCAAAAGCTTGAACAAGCATTCAGTTCCATTTCCTGCCTTTCCTTTTGACATCAGTCATGAACTCACTTATGATAATGGAGCCTTATTTATGACATAAATATGCTGAAAGCAACATCCAAAAGACATTTCAGACGTCAAAGGCAGTGATACAAGAATATCAAAGTAGATTATTAAATGTTCCATCATTAACCACTTGATCGATTTTTAAAGCAATGTTTCCCCAAGGAAAGCACTATGAATACTAAAAACACAACTTCAGTGAACACAGCAGTTTCTCTCACAGAAACTGGAATATATTCTAAGCAGAATTTTCTAACTATTGCCACTTCTGTTATTGGCTATGAGAGAAAAATGCTATAAAATTGATAGAAAGCTGAAATAAAGAGAACTTCAAAAGTTATATGATGTATTCAGTACACACTCAATCCCTTATTTTGAACATTATAAAGGAAGCATACAATTTTTATTAGAATCTGTTTTCTCTACCCCTCCCATAAATGAGTAATAAACGATTAAAGAATAGAAAGATATGTGATGATGCTAAAGATATGTGACTCCAAAGGAAAAGATGCAGCCCTCGTCACTGTGTGGACTTACCTGTCCAGTGCCAACCTCAAAAGACTCATAATCCACATGCACAGAAGACACACAAGCACCGACTGGAAGTCTCCTCTTAGACTCACTGGACTCTGAGGGGAGAGAAGCCACTTCTTTAGCTTTCTGAGCACTTCCCTCTTGTCCTTTTGTCAAAGCCGCCATCGCTGCCTTCTTTTCTGAGGCTGCTTTTTTCTGTTCCTGTAAAATACCAAGATTTCATGACATTACCCTGAGGGAAAGGTTCAGTTATGAGCTCTCACCACGACACATGCTACCTCAATGTTAGGGAGTGATTAGTAATTTCTGAGGCACAATGACATTGTGTCATTAGAGAAATGTCCCTTTCAGGGACACATCCTATATAATAAAAGGGTAATATGCAAACTGACCCTAACAGCCGAACGACTGGGAATGACTGGTCACTATGACACACACTGACCACCAGGGGGCAGATGCTCAATGCAGGAGATGCCCCCTGGTGGTCAGTGCGCTTCCACAGGGGGAGCTCTGCTCAGCCACAAGCCAGGCTGATGGCTGCCAGTACAGCAGTGGTGGTGGGAGCCTCTCCCGCCTCCTCAGCAGCGCTAAGGATGTCTGACTGCAGCTTTGGCCTGCTCCCCGCTGGCAAGTGGACATCCCCTAAGGGCTGCCAGAGGAATGTCTGACTGCCAGCTTAGGCCCAATCCCCTGGGGAGCCGGCCTAAGCCAGCAGGTGGTCATCCCCCGAGGGGTCCCAGACTGCGAGAGGGCACAGGCCGGGCTGAGGAACCCCCCCCCACCCCGAGTGCACAAATTTTTGTGCACCGGGCCTCTAGTATTGAATATTTAGGAAAGAAGCGCCATGTCTAAAATTTACTTTAAAATTCTTAAGAGAAAAAGATTAAGAGGCAATGAAAAACAAAAACAAAACAGCTACAATTAAGTCTAAATATAAATATTACTAGAGGCCCGGTGCACGGATTTGTGCACATTGAAAGGAAATTAATTAGAAGGTGGCCGGTGGGGCAGGACTGGGCAAGACGGGCAGGACACAGGCCCTGGAACAAACCTCCCGCAGTCCCTCCCCAGCCGGCTGCACCTGGGGCAGCGCCGGGGCTCAAAGGGCATCTGCAGAGTGAGTGGGGGTCCCCCCAGCAGGTGGGGTCCCTAGGCCTGGCCTACAGGGATCGGGCCAAAACTGGCAGCCTAACATCCCCCGAGAGGTCTCAGAGTGCAAGAGGGCACTCTGCAAAGTTGCTGTCGCTCAGCAGCTCCTGTGTTGAGCATCTGTCCCCTGCTGGTCAGTGCGCGTCATACCTACCGGCCGGCTGGCTGGTCGCTTAGCCTTTTATATATATAGATCATTCTACTGTTTGAAATACTTTTCTAATAAAAAGTTTAAAACTGCCAATTTCTTTCTTTTAAATTTAAACTTTAGACAGTTTAGAAGTACTATATAATTTTAAAATACATACTTCTATAAATATGTGTAACCTAGGAGAAATTTCTTCATTCAACATTATGTCTGCATGGAGCCACTAACAAATTTCTCTCAAAAGCATTTTGGAAGGAACAAATAAGCACACTGTGGTCTATTCATACAATGGAATAAAAATGAATGATTTTGAGTAAAAAAAGCCACATACCAAAGAGTCCATACATATTGTTTCTCCCTTCATACACAACAGGCAAAATTTTCAAGGGTGTCAGAAATCAGATAACGGTTAGTTGTATGGCGGGAGAGTTGGTTAGAAAGAAGCACGTGTGACAGAAACGTTCTATTTTTGTCTTAGGTAGTGACTACACCGGTGCAAGAATTGTCACAACATATTGCCCCAAATACTTATGATCAATTTGTTCCCCAAAATAAATGTGAACAAAAGCTTTGGGAGCATTATGGAGCAGGTGTATCTAGCACGATGGAACCCACTCACTCTGGTTTGTCATCACAGCCTGAGGCAGCGGCAGCAATGCCAGGGAGGTGAACAGCTGCCCTGGGTGGACTTGTCCCTCCCCACAGGCACGTGCTCAGTGGCCCTCATTCCCCAGGCTGAGAATGACCAGGAAAGTCTCTATTTAAGCACTTGTTGACAACGCCTCAACAAAACCGCTGGCCAAACAGGTCTCATCTATTAACAAATTCCAAACCCTAGGAAAGCAGGAAGAGTCCACTTGGTGACTTCAACAGGCAGGACAGAAAAAAGAAAGCTCTTTGCCCCCATTACGTTCAGGAAGGTTTGTTATCTCTTCCCTCTGAAGGCAGCACAAGATTAAATTTCAAACCCAAAATGAAGACCATGTCCAGTTTCTTAAATTTGCTCTCTCGCTCTGCAGAACCTCCAATTGTATTAATAGAACTCATTCCAAATTGCTAAGAGAGCTGTCTAAATAGGTCATAAACTGTCCTATGCCAAACTATTGTTGTTTCCCCTAGCCACATTCGATAATTGTAAAAACAAAGTGAACCAACATACACATACATGACACCAATATTCCCAAAACTAAGAACCATTCCTTTTCAAATGGGAATCACTAAGATAGTTTACAAAGGGTAAAAAAACACTGGCTACAAATACTTGATGTCCTTATTATAAAGTAATTAGCTAATTTTGGTCCCATTATTTCAGATGCATTAAATCAATAGTGTACAACATATTATCTTATTATTTATCTGGAAGCACCTTATTACCTATGAAAATTGAAGAGCGACCAATGGCGACATGGCCAAGAAAATGTCATGGTTCATCCAGAAGCAAATGCATCTGATTTAAAAAAAAATAAGGTCACTTGACTGATTTTCACTCCTTTCAAAATATTCTTATAATGCCATAACTTATATATCGAAGCAACTATAGTGTATAAATCAGGCTCCTTCTAAAAATTTTCCAAGAACAATGGAATACTTTTTCTTTTATTATAGAATACAGTCAAGGACATGCTGTAGGGCCTGAGGGCAGCTTTTCATTTGTTTTTGTTTTACAGGCTGTGTTTTGTTGATGTGCACATGGGGACAAGTATTAACGGAAAAACCAGGAAGGAGTCACTATGTTGAAAAACCCATTTATTATAGAAACATTTGCTCATGCAGTTTTAACACATATTATTTTAGAATTTCTAAAGGTAAAATTAAGATTTAGATTAAAAAGGGGATTGGTGCCAATTTATAACTGATGACAGGTGAACATTCATGATGTTTGTTTAAAGGCATCATGGCTTTCATAGCCGTATGAACGTTTGAGAACCACTCACTCGAAAGATAAAATCCAAACTTCCACACCTGCCATTTGGGCCTTCAGGACTCTGCCCTCCCTGACTCTCAGCTCATCGGCTGTTTCAGCTGCAGGCCCTCTCCTGGAAGGCCATGTCCCCTGGTCCTGCCTCTCCTTCAAGTTCAAGCACCAACACCTTGGGGAAGTCCTCTCTTATCAACCCATCCCTTCTCCTGGGGCCAGAAAGCATGAACAATACTGTTGCAGGACTGATGTGTCATAATTTGTGCTCAAATATCTCCCTCTAACTCAGCGGTTCTCAACCTGTGGGTTGTGACCCTTTTGGGGGTCGAACGACTCTTTCACAGGGGTCGCCTAAGACCATCGGAAAACACATATATAATTACATATTGTTTTTGTGATTAATCACTATGCTTTAATTATGTTCAATTTGTAACAATGAAAATACATCCTGCATATCAGATATTTACATTACAATTCATAACAGTAGCAAAATTACAGTTATGAAGTAGCAATGAAAATGATTTTATGGTTGGGGGTCACCACAACATGAGGAACTGTATTAAAGGGTCACGGCATTAGGAAGGTTGAGAACCACTGCAATATGCCAAGGTTGTAAGTTTGATCCCCACATACAAGAAGCACCCAATGAGTGCATAAATAAGTGGAACAACAAATAGATGTTTCTCTGTCTCTCTCTAAAAGCAATCAATAAATTAATTAATTTAATTTTTGCTTTCTGGCTATTATTAATGAGATGTGTGTGTATGTTATCTTTAGAAGGTGAGAGGGATTGGGAAGAGAAAATGAGCGAACATCTATTGGGTATTCATCTTCACATGCATTACTTCATCCTCATTCGAACCTTATAAGGAAGGTATCATGCCCATTTTAGAGATGAAGGAAACCAAGGATCAGAAAGGGTAAGCAAACCGCTCATGGATATGTAGTGAGTAAGTGGCTGAACTGGGAAGCAGGGCAATCAACTCATCTGTTTATCCAGGATTTATCCAATTTTTGCCCTGGGAAATTCCCATTTTAAAACTGAAAAGTACTTTGTCCAGGGAATTCTCTCTGTTCCAAGGAAACTGGGTGGTCAGTTACCCTACATGGAACCTAAAATCCAGCATGGCTTACTCCAAAGTCTGAGCTTCCATCAGCCCCATCACTGTGTCCAGGAGCAGGGAGCACGCTAGCTGGCCTACTCATGAGGGTATTCATGAAAACTTCCAAAACCTAAGCTAGTCACACAGGGCCTTGTTTTCTTTGGGACAAGATGAGCTTTACCAGTTTGGCAGCCTTGTGCTTGACGAAGTTGGCTATCTTCTTCCTGGGCCCCAGGGGTATTCCCATTTCCTTCAGGTCATCAACTGTGCACATCAGCTGCAAAAGAACACAAACAAGCAAGTTCATGAGTCTAGTGACAGACTTGAAATTGAAAAAGGAAATTATAAAGAAACTACACATCTAAAGCAATCTAAGATCCAATCAATTCTTTTTTTTTTTTTTGGTAAGTTATTAGTTTTTAAATCATGGGTTAATTTAGGCTGTAAAATCTTAGCCCGCCAAAATATAAGATGGCTCTGTCTTTTGGTTTTGTTCCATCCACCAAAAGGGTGGATTACAAACAAATATTTGGTAATACGCAGTTACAATTGGCCCGAGTTTACACGATTCCCGCACTCCACCGCAAATCTATATGAACCGAGTTAAAGACTGCTCCCGCGGAGTACGCGCAATTCACGCGAGCCGACTTAACTCGTTTCCCCCACTCCAAGTGTTAATTTAGGCTGTAAAATCTTAGCCCTCCACATCCAAATCATTTTATTACTTTTTTAACAGAAAACTCATGCAGGTTGTACAAAATTCAAAAGCTATAGTCAAGCTGAAGGTTTCAGGTCTCTCCCCTCCAGTCCTGCCCCATCCACCCAACCCATCTCTCTCAGCTGCAGCTGATGGCAACTTGTTCTCCTTCAAGAGAGAGATCTTACACATACACAGCATCTATATGCTTTGCTGTGTGTGTGTGTATGTCCTACTATGCAAACAGGTCTGAACTTTTGGTCTTTTCACATGCTGTACCTAAGAGATCATTTTACACCAGTATCTCTGACATTGCCTCACCCATTTACTAGCTACAGGGTACACCATCACATGGATGCACCATAAATGACCTCACTAGTGCCTTACTGATGGACACCAACTGTGTTTCTAAGTTTTGCTAGTACAAACAGTGCTACAGTATCCTTGTACATATTTTTTGTGTGTATATTTCTCCACAGGAAATATTCCTGGCAGTTAATCTGTTGGGGTAAAAGGTATGTATTTTTTATATTTTAAAAGACACTGCCAAACTGCCCTCAAGAGAGACTGTACCAATTTATTCACTGTTTCCAACAATATGTAACAGTGCTTACTTCCCCTCATTGTAGCCACATAGTATATAGGGTGAGGCAAACATAGGTTTGCTAGTACACTTGTTCATATGGAAAATAATACAATCATTAATAAACAATAATAAACTGTCTCATGTACTCACAACTGTAAACCTACTTTTGCCCCACCCTATATTATGAAACTCTTTATTTTTGCCAAACTGATAGGTTAAAAATCTCATTGCATTTTTTTTAAAGAACATTTTTCTTTTTTTAAAAATATGCTTTCTATTGATTTTTACAGAGAAAGGAAGGGAGAGGGGTAGAGAGATAGAAACATCGATGAGAGATGAACAGCATCATCGACTGGCTGCCTCCTGCACGCCCCTGCAGGGGATCAAGCCCATTCCTGGGCATGTGCCCTGACCGGGAATCAAACCAACAACCCCTTGGTTCCTGGGTCGACGCTCAACTGCTGAGCCACCTCGGTGGGGCCTCACTGCACTTTTAATTTGCATTTCGCTTATGAGTTTTCTTATAAGCTGTTTTTTTTTTCTGTGTATCATCTGTTCTTATTTTTTGCCTCTTTTCCTATTGTGTTGATATATTTATGTAACAAACTTGCAGAAGTTTTGAATAGTAAGGAAATAAGCCATGTGTCTATAATGTGTGCTCCAAATATTCTTCTTAACCTATCACTGGTCTTTAGATGTTGTTTATGGCATCTCCCGCTATGCAAGTTTTTTTCATTTATGACTTTTTGGCTTTGTGTCACACTTAGAAAAGTCTCCTCAGATTGTGTTTTACAAACAATTCTTGCCCACCCGATGTGGCTCGGTGGTTGAGCATCAACCTATGAACCAGCAGGTCACGGTTCGATTGCCGGTCAGGGCACATGCCTAGGTCGCTTGATCCCCAGTAGGGGGTGTGCAGGAGGCAGCAGATCAGTGATTCTCTCTCATCATTGATGCTTCCATCTCTCTCTCCCTCTCCCTTCTCCGAAATCAATTTTAAAAAAACACACACAATTCTGTGTTTTTCAATTTCTTAAACACTTAAATTTCTGCCTTATCTGGAATGTATTATGATGTATGAGTGTTCAAATCATTCTTAATTTTCAATTTATACACAGGAAAAAAAATTTAATAAAAATGAATCAAACTATCATCAGTACCAGAGATTCCATATCAATCTTCTCCTTTTCAAAAGTGCTGGCGTATTCAGAGAGACTGAGTGCTGCCAGGGTTTCCTGCAGAGTCAGGACTTCTTCATTTTCAGCATCAAGGTCACTGGGCTCATCCAAGGCCAGCTTTGGGTCTTCAGGCGTCTGTGAGATAAAGTTGGGGAAACATTACAAAGCTCAGAAAAACTCCCATAAAATTTCTCCCTGTCTACAGAAAATCTTAACCCATTCTGCTCTAAAAACACATCTTAATTTTTGTAGTTTGTCATCCAAATTTGTAAATATTCTGAAAAAGCATATAAGTTAGTAATCACTCATGCTCCCATTTCTTACAATAACAACAAGCTATATGATTCCATTACACTTGTAAACCTCAGCATATTTTCATATACAGACAGTTCAGATTTTGGAAAAATGTTCAGCTCAAACTCCAAATCTAAATGTTAACTGGGCCGTACCTGCTTCTCCTGGACACGTGGCTGCTTCACAGCTCCATTAGCAACAACAAAAGACCCTGAAGCCTTTGGTAAAGTCAAATCTTTTTGATTAGACAGAATGTCAAACAATATTAAAGAACCTAAAAAAAAAAAAAAGCAGCATTTTGCTTTATAATGTTCTAGGTGCTTTTTATATCACTAAACATATTCTCCTACTTTTTCTCAAAGTCCCTAGTCAGAAGTCATACCAAAGTTAGGTGTTAATCAAGATCTGATAATCAGTGTTCTTGTTTTACCAAACAGCGGAATAAATTAAAATATAAAGCAATTGTAGGTATTCATGGAAGGTGAATAGCAAAGGCAGAATCTAAACTCAAAGCATTCATCTCTACCCTTTATAAAACCTGAAATCTACAATTCTAAATCTTGCACCAACAGTGTCATCCACAATGAAAGCAGTGCTGACTCAACAAATATTTTGCTTAACATGTGAATATTTGACAATTTTACCTAAACTGTGACCAGCAACAGAGATCCCTCCTTTGAAGTCTGGGTTCCGACTCATAAAGAGTGCGTGCAGACGGTTTATCTCCATTCCCACTTTCTCCACAATCTTCTGACAGTAGGTGGGGCTATTATAAAATAGAATATCTAGCAAGGTTTCATTGGTAAAGTGACGAAACCGACCAATACTTGGTAAAGTGATTTTCTTAATATTCCTATTTAGAAAGAAAAAAAAGTATATTGTGAGAAGGTACCTTAAATCTATGAATTTTTTAAAGCTTAGATCTTGAATCCTGAAAGTACAGTGAGTAAATAAATCCACAAACTAATTCTGAGTTGATTTTGTAGACAGAGTTATAAATACACCAAGATTAGCAAAAAAATTGCTGTTTGTGCCTTTAACTGCAGTATGACTTTTGGGATTTTCTGAAGTCATATAAAATAAGCCTTATGAAAAGATTTTTAATTTTAAAGAAGAAAGCCTATTCTTTCATTGTCTTCCAATTTATTGGAAATCAGGACACCTTACAGCAAATGTGGGTGGTAAGGACAATAGAGAAAGCAGGAGAAAGAAAAAAGACTAAAAGAATGAAGCTCTTTCCTGATTTGAGAATGTCCATAGCAAAGTTCAAGAACATCCACAGAGAAAGAAAACACCCTCATGACATGACCCAGCATGGTCATAATGCTGTTGGCAGGATCAGTTTTATTAAATCATGTGCCTGAAAGATTATGACTTTCACCAAATTTCATATGTTATTAGCCCTGTGTTCTAGCATAAATATTACCTAAAAATTTAAAAAATTATTTAAATCTATGGTTCTCAATTGAAAGCTTTCAAAATTGAGTGGGACCCAGTTGGCGTGGCTCAGTGGTTGATCACGTCAGGTTTCGATTCCCGGTCAGGGCACATGACCGGGTTGCGGGATCAATCCCCAGTGTTGGGTATGCAGGAGGCAGCCGATCAATGATATTCTCTCATCACTGATGCTTCTATCTCTCCCTCCTCACCCTTCCTCTCTGAAAAAAAAAAAAGTACATGGAAAAAAAATTTTTTTTTGAGTGGGGACATTCTTAGTTGTCACAGTGCCTGATGAGTGCTGTGGGCATTTGGTGGCATTTAGACTAGGATACTAAGTGGCCTAGAGTACACATGCAGCAATCGGACATGACCATGAACTGTTGTGCCCAAAGAGCTGCCACTGAGAAACAAACATCTAAATCAGTGGTTCTCAACTTGGGTGCTTTGAGCCCCAGGGGACATCTGGCAATGAGTACAGACAGTTTTGGTTGTCACATCACACTGTGGGAAGGACCGTGCTACCATTATCTACTGGGTAGAGGCCAGGGATGCTGCTAACACCCTAGAGCGTATAATCAGCCCATATCTAAACCACTATGCATCAGTATTCTAAAACCAGCTTAAACTTCCTCGACTGTCTTAAATATTTATAATAAGAATAAATGCATACACAGAAAAGTAGCAAGTAAATTTAACAACCAGTTTTTAATTATATGTCAGAGCAAGTATGAACTTAAAATAAAAAAAATACATCTCTTAAAATATATATGCATATATGTTGAAGTCATAATAAACTACTTCACATTATGGTTTAATTTTTTAATCTACAATTGAATAATCTGAAAAGCAAGTTCTCAAAATCCACGCACCTGTCGACACCTGTTGCATCCCCACCCAAGGAGCTGTGCCAGTGAACGGGAAGGAACTCCACTCTGCTTATTTTCCGATCATCTAAAGCTTTCTTGAAATGAGTCTGCAGCAATTTGAGAGAAACCACCCTGAAATCATCCACTTAAAAAGAAAATCAGGGAAAACAATAAATTTAATTAATATAATGTTCTTAGCTTGATTGGTAGTTAGCAATTACCTCATCTATGCCAGTATTTTGCAAGGATTTAGCCCCCATAACAATAAACCTAAAACTTAGAAAAATCTTTCAGACGCTTCATTATTTTAGAGGTATGTATAACTGACTGAAAAACTTTAACTATCACATCCAGACAGCATGGCACTGTGGGTACAAACTCAGAAGCCAAACTACCTGCTCCAGAACTTACAGACCAGGATCGGGGGAGGTTACCAGCCTTTGGGCCTCAGCTCCTCACCGAACAGTGGGGGCAACAGTGAGAGCACCTGCTCCCCAGGCTTCATTGTGAGGGTGAAATGGTACAACACATGCCAGATACTTGACACACACCAGGTATTCAAAAAACATGAACTATTATACAGACATAAAAGTAAAACTTCAAAAATGTCTGTAGCCCTGGCCGAGTAGTTCAGTTGGTTACAGTATAGTCCCAATACACCAAAGTTGCGGGTTCGATCCCTGGTCAGGGCACATACAAGAATCAACCAATTAATGCATAAATAAGTCAAATAACAAATAGATACTTCTCTCTCTCCCCCCACCCAAAAAATCAATAAAAAATAAAATATTTCTGTAAACCAGGCAGATTCATACTTCCATTAAACAACTTCTCACAACTAATTCTCTATAAATCAGTTCGATATACAGGTGTTCCTAGTTGCTGGAATTGCTCAGGCAGAGGTTATCAGAAAGGCTAAATTATTTCCATGATCCCATGTAATTCTTCACAGTCCAAAATTGTATGAGTTATACATGTCATAACAACAAATCAAGTACAAATTAATACTATCAATGATCATTTAAATCTCCTTTTACAGTCCCTCAGCTGGAAGCCATTTTAAAAATGAACATTTAAAAGTCCTTTCATTAGTTCTCAAATCATACCATGAAATGACTAACACTTACCACATTCAATAATACTTCTAAAGCGCAAGTCACATACCGGTCCAATGCCATGCACCATGAACACCAAATGGTCAACCGGAGGCATTTCCCCTACAGAAGAAAGACAAATATACACACAAGCTGGAAACTTGTTTGGGTTTTCTTAACTGAATAGCAATATTCTAGATATCCCTTTTGTCATCACAAACTTACCAAAGGAATTCATGACCCTTCCAACTTAATAAGCGTCTTTATCCTCTACCAAATTAGAAGAACAAAACTCAAAGTCGGTCTTGGAACATAACAGTGAACTGAACCAAGGAGTGGAGGAAGCAGGCTGTCTCTGGTCCCAGAAGTTATCAGCATATGATGACCAGCAGTTGTGTACCTACAGAGGCTCCATAACCTTGTGATTTCTTCAGAACTCCACAGGGCACTAAATCCCATATGGAGAAGCAATTTGTCAATGTAAAATTTTAAAATCTTTTCCCCAAATCCTTCTCTTTTATTTGTTAGATTCATATATACTATATAAAGGGACATCTCCAAGTAAAATCTACTATTTTACTCTGGTTATTTCATTCAGATTCAGAATAAGTGTATTCATTTTGTAATCTCATAAGACAATAAAACAAATCTAAAGTATGTAACTGTCAAAATAAAATCCATACTTTAAATGGTATAATAGGAGAACCAGAGCACAAACACTGGGGCAGGGGTTAGCAAACTATGGATCACAGGCTAAATCCTTCTCCCTGCCTGTTCTTTATAAATAAAGTTTATTGAAACACAGCTATGCCCATTTGTTTACATGCTGTCTATAGATGCATTCACACTACAATTAGAGTTGAATGCATGCAACAGAGTCTATATGGCCTGCAAAGCCTAAAATATTTACTATTTGGCCTTCACAGAAAATGTGTGCCACTCCAGCACTAGAGCAAGACAAACTAATTGAAGTATGACAAAACAAGCCCAAAAACACAGCCAAAAGCCTACTTTCAATCAGCAAAGTGTTTCTTTAAAACAATACATATTTTAAGAGTCCACATTACATGGTTTGTATACCTTCACAGAATTCTAAATTTAAAAATAGATAAAAAGGTAATAACAATTTTTTAAAGATATGTGCCAACCTGATATGGCAGGAAATCCTAACAACTGTTCTTTTAGTCATCATTCTAAAGGATGATGGCAAAACAGAAGTTTAGAAATGACATCAGTCCTAAACCAAGTTTACACACCATCGGGAATTTCATCAAGGTTATCGTCAACTCCACGCTTCACAACCCTGGGTCTGGTCTGTCCATCTTGTGTGGTCCCCCATTCATCTGGCACTGACGAAGGCTGGAACTGAACAATAACCTTCAAGATACAACAGGAAGATTATGACAGCTCACTACCAAATTCACTTCCACTACAGACAAAATAATGGTATTTCAATACATAATAAACTACTTGAGAGTATGGATAATTTATACATCAAGTACTACCAATGTTCCCCCAAATCCAATCTGTGATGGTCCTGCTAGTGATCATTAACCATTAAAACTAATCAATACCATAAGCAAATCAATACCATTATTTCCAATGCTGTTAGAAAATGACACAACTAAATCAGAATATACCTCAATTTAGAAATGTAATATAAACACCCAAGTTTACCCGTAAGAAATGAAGAAAAAGTTACCTGCAATAGAGGAGTCTATTTACAAATGCATTTTCAATGCCAAACACTGATTTACCCACCACTTTTTAGGAAGACATATATTGTTTAATCCAACTATCTTAAATTAAACCTGATGTCATGAAAATACCTCTTTAAAAAAATGTATGCAAGATGTTATGCAAAATTTTTCTGTTTGTACACAAAAGGTTAAAAAATGTAAAACACAAAAGGATAAGCATGGTCACCATCAAGAGGAGAAACTGGGACAGTATTTACAAGAATCTGATTCTTATTTCCCAGGGAAATTCTGGGGGCCCATAAAGTAAAACAATCATAGAGAAAGAATGAGCAGGAATAGTTCCTGCTTCAGAATTGTGCAGTATTCACCTTAAGTTGATTTTTTTCCTCCTTTTGCAATTGATGAATTGAATACATTTTTCATGCATGTTTTCCAGAAAAATAGGAGTATTAATGTTATTAAAAAGATTATTTTTTTATTAAAAGCTATTTATATTATAGAAAGTATCATTAAGCCCTAGTTGGTTTGGCTCAATGGATAGAGTGTCGGCCTGCGGACTGAAAGGTCCCAGGTTCGATTCCGGCCAAGGGCACATGCCTGGGTTGCTGGCTTGATCCCCAGTAGGGGGCATGCAGGAGGCAGCCAATCAATGAGTCTCTCTTACCACTGATGTTTCTATCTCTTTCTCCCTCTCCTTTCCTCTCTAAAATCAATAAAATATATTTAAAAAAAGAAAAAGAAAGTATCATTAATATATATTCTTTATTTCATAATCTGTCCCATAGTCATGCATTGTTTTGCACCCCAAATGTTTTATTGTTCATATCAGCAATGGTCACCTCTTCTCTTGGTCTTTGGAGAAGGCTCAGGCACTATCCCATTTACACTGATACTAGTGAATAACTACTTAAAAAAAAATAGATTAAAGTTTATCCTTTCTTTCTCTTTTTACATGAATCCCCCATCTTCCATCCTCTTTTATAGTTGAGAATGCCTCAATCATATGAAATTTGTTACCAAAATTAATACAATTTAGAGTATCTTCCTGATTGCTTAACCCTCTACAGAGGTATGCTCATGAATAATACTTTTAATATGGGGAAATGGAAACCATGAACTTTTTACCATTTTAGACTATTTATCTAATATCTCAATAATAAAAGCAATATTATGTCCCATTTCCAAGTGGTTAGGGCTCACTCTCCAACTTTATTAAATTGCGGTTGAGCACAGGATACAGTCTTAAACATTTTGAAAAACATTAACCCAAGATGTAGGGGTTAAGGCTAGTCATCACTCCAGAATCTGGTATTTTACTCAGTATTTGAAATAAATGATTAATTCCCTAGGAAATAGTTTTAGCAAATGTTCAGGTGCCACACCAGAAAAGTGCGATAATTTACTGAGTTTTCTAGATTAGGCATATGATTGGAATACAACTTTATAAAGAGCATACATTGTATACTCTAGTGAAATAGCATCACTAAAAAATCTTCACTTATGAAAATCAGTTACCTATAGTCTTGAATAGTGAACAAGGACTCTAATACAAATACTCTTAATATTTTGCTATTTTAGAACCCTTAAAGGGTATAATTATTGGAGATTTAGGTACTTCACTAAGGCAGGTATATAATATTGCCAACAGGAAAAATAAATTTGAAGATTAGGGGAAGTTACTTCTCTAAACTGTCTTGGAATAGTTCAGAAGAATTTACACTCTATTAAGCAGGAAACCAATCTATTCTTTTGCAGAAGATTTCATAACTTATTAAAACTTCATCATTCACATTTTGTGTCTTAGATCTATTCAGTTATAATACATACTACCATCCCAGTCTTTTCTGTATCAGGAGTTGATTACAGGAAAACTCAGTGACATGATACAAATCTGAGACTCTGATGGTGGAAAGTGAAGTTTTAACAGAGAACCAATCGTGTTTTACCTGAGTGTCAAAAAAGCTTTGAGCTTCCTTGCACAGAATTTATACAATTTTTGCTCTTTCCACATCAATTCAGTTAATCCACTTTCCCTGGGACCTCTCCACCATTAAAACACATACCACATACCATATTTCGTCATTGATATTTATTTTCAAGAGTTATTACAACCAAATTAAGTCTGTTTGAGAGGTGTAAACAAATTTGATAAAGAATATAGATTAAGTGATCTAGCTAAAAGCAAAGTAAATATTAAGCAAATCCTAGCAGAGTTTAAGCAAACAGCATTAAAAATAAGAAAAAAGGGACAGGTGGTTCTCAGAAGACAAAGAACCAAAAACTGAATTAAATGCTACATGGGAGACGAGGATATGTTTTAAATCATGACAACATAGTTGCTTCCAGGTACTTTAGTATCAGAGATCAATTCCAATTGATCGCTTCCTATGGCCAGCCATACGTCAATTGAATGTGGTATAACTGACTATTGGCTCTACAGTTTCATTTGATCACTTGAGCAATATTTCCTTTAGTGACTATTTTGGAGGGGGGACGAGCAGGTTTAAAGAAAGTAAAACCTAATTTTAAACACATTCTAGCAAGAAATAATCAACTGTTTGAAAATCATGTTTTAACTTTTTGTTATATTCTCAGCTATACAAAATTGTGTATATACAAATTTTTAAACTGCTGTTAATTTGAAATCTATTAACCATATTGTGGAATTTGGTGTGTTTTTTTAAAAGATGTTTCTAATTGGATTTTTTAATCAAGAATGGAATTTAGTCTCTATTTTCTTTTTTTTAAAAATATATTTTATTGATTTTTTACAGAGGAAGGGAGAGGGATAGAGAGCCAGAAACATCAATGAGAGAGAAACATTGATCAGCTGCCTCCTGCACGCCCCCCACTGGGGATGTGCCCGCAACCAAGGTACATGCCCTTGACCGGAATCGAACCCGGGACCCTTGAGTCCGTAGGCCGACGCTCTATCCACTGAGCCAAACCGGTTCTGGCAGTCTCTATTTTCTGATAGAACCTAAGCTTTTTGTGGTTCTTAGTGTCCTGTGTAAAAGTTAGTGTCAAAGTAATCAACTTTGAGGTTTTTCCTTCTACTCTGCTTTGTATTACAAGCCCTTTAGGAAATGGAACCTGGTGAATATACAAGGAATTGTAAAATATTTTAATGTGTAACTTTTTCAACTGTGAAACTATGACTATTGTTTTACTGATGAAAACAACTGCTGATAAAGTTTTTTGTGTAAAGTGTAGTTCTTATTAATCAGGAAAATAATCAATGACTTGATTAGAATGTATATACCCTCTTGGATTTTATTTTAAGTGGATTGGTAATTTTCACATAGGTAAAACACAGTCCATCTTTATTCTTTTTTCCACAAAAAAAAAAAAAAAGAGGAGAAACTGGGAGGATACAGAAGAGTAAGGGGCTTTTATTTTCACTTCATACCTTTATGTACCGTTTAAATTATGTTGACATATAAATGTGCTTTTATTTTTATTTTTTTAAATATCAATAAGGATTGTAGATGGGGAAAGGGGGCGTGCTAGAAGGGTCAATGGGTAAGAAAAGGGTACATCTGTATTACTTTCAACAATAAAGATAAATTTTAAGAAATTAAGGACTATAGATGTGGTTAGAATATAAGTTATTTTACACTTTCCTATAATAAGCAAATGGCCTGTTGTGAACAACTACTGTGTGCCAAGCACTATGCTAGATGCTTTTGCATAAATGCCTCAACCTCATCTCAAATATGCCCCGGGGAGGAAAATCTTTTTTGTTGCTCGTAATCCTCACCCAAGGTTATTTTTCCACTGATTTTTAGACAGAGTGGAAGGGAGGGGGAGAGACACAGAGAAACACTGATGTGAGACACACACATTGACTGGTTGCCCCTGAATGCACCCTGATCAGAGCCAGGGATCCAGCCTGCAACTGAGGTATGTGCCCTTGACCTGAGTCGAAGGCAGTTAAGGGCAGGGAGGAAAATCTTAGTGCAAATGAGGAACCTGTGGCTCAGAGATGAAGGGTGGTAAATGAAAGAATGCCAATACCATTAATACCTTAAAAAAAACACACAACAAGTTTCTAAAGACGATAAAAAGAGGAAGAATATGTTTTCCATCTCAAAGGTTGAAACAAACCTTCATTAAGGGCAGGGCAGACAAACTACAACTTTCAGGGGAAAACTGGCCCACCACTTGTTTTGACACAGTTTGCTTAAAAACAGCCATGCTCAATGTCTGTAGCTGCTTTCAGGCTACAAGGGCAAAGTCGACAGCTGTCACAAAGACCATGTGGCACAAAAAGCCTTAAATACTTTCTCTCTAGCACTTTACAGAAAAAGTCAGCTGATCTCTGATCAAGTGCAAAAATTTATCCAGCAACTTCTATGCTGCATACTAAGCTTCAGCTAATATGTTGCCATAAACAGAAACTTCATGAAACAAATTTAAATTTTATTTTATTTTTCTTGTTAATCCTCACCTGAAGATAAATTTTCCAATGCTTTTCAGAGAGAGTGAAAGGGAGGGGCATAGAGAGAGAAACATCAATGTGAGAGAAACACATCAACTGGTTGCCTCCCACACATGCCTGCAGGGAGGGGGCAGTGCCACAGATAAATGTGAACTATAGTAAACTTAAAAGCAACGGACTTGTCATACATATATCCCTACTGCAGAAATTAATAAAAATAAACGTTTAGCAAATACATTTGTCAAAATTATTTAAATGAACCTAAAAACTTTAATATCCTAAAAACTATCATTACCTTTGGATTGTGCATAACAATAGTCTCTCCACTTGGAAACTCTAATCTGCGGTGCCACTGATTTGTGGTTACAGCTTTTTTATATTCGACCTACAATAATGAAAACAACATACATCCATTAATACAAATCTATATCACATTGAGAAAAAGTGGAAGAAAATTACAACTATGATGGTAATAAAAAACAGTAATAGCAGCTCTCATGTACTAACTGGTTACCATACTTATCACTTTACATGTATTACCTCACTTAATTACTCTCATTCATTCCTAAATAACATTATCTGCATTAGACAGAGGCAAACACCAAGATTTAGACTATTAGTTTCTTAGAGCTGCCAAAAAAAGTACCACAAACTGAGGGCTTAAAACAACAGAAATGTATTCCCTCGGTTCTGGATGCCAGAAGTCTGAAATCAAGGTGTCAGAAGAGCAAATGGTATAAAAGGGCCATGTTTCCTCTGAAACCTACAGGGAACTCCTTCATTGCTCCCTAGCTCCTGGTGGTTTGTCAACAATCTTTACTGTCCATTGGCTTATAGGTGTATCACTCCGATCCCCTATTCTCACATAGTACTCGCCTTCTGTCTGTCCCCTTGTAAGGATACCAGTCACATGGGAACAGAGGCCCAACCTACTCCACTATGATCTCATCTTAATAACATGTGCAACAAGTTACATTCTGAGCTGCTAGAGCCTAGGACACAATTCAACTCCTGGCTGACATTTTTTAAATAAAATTGGTTTCTTTTATTACTATTGGCCTGGTGCACGGATTCATGCACACTGAAAGAAATTAATTAGAAGGTGAACAGAGGGGTGGGATTGGGCGAGATGGGCCGGACATGCCCTGGAGCCAACCTCCCTCGGTTCCTCCCAGCATCTGCGGAGTGAGTGGGATCCCTCTGGCAGGTGGGGTCCTTCAACCTGACCTGCGGGGATCGGGCAAAAACTGGCTCTCCGACATCCCCCGAGAGGTCCCAGAGTGCGAGAGGGCACTCTGCAAAGCTGCTGTCATAGAAGTGTGGAACGCAAATGCAAGTGTGCAGTAAACCAGGTTCTGGGTGACAGTGCCCCAGCAACAACATAACCCATGGCCCAAGGTGTAATTGCAAGGCCCTGTGAGAAATCAGGCTCCTTCCTCTCTGGTTTCGGGGTGCATCACCCTAAAACTGCTGCTGCCAAGTCACTGCAGCTTGGCAGCTCCTGCATTGAGCATCTGCCCCCTGGTGGTCAGTGCGCATCACAGCAACCAGTCAGATGGTAGGAGGGACACTTAGCAGATTAGCCTTTTATATATATACACACTAGTGGCCCGGTGCACAAAATTCGTGTACTGAGGGTGTCCTCAGCCCGGGGTGTCCCTGCACCCTTCATTTGGGACCCTTGGGGAAAGTCGACTGCTGGTTTAGGCCCAGTCGGACATCCCTCTCGCAATCTGGGACCACTGGCTCCTAACCGCTCACCTCCCTGCCTGCCTGCCTGATTGCCCCTAACCATTCTGCTTGCCGGCCTGGTCGCCCCCAACTGCAACCCACCCTGCTAGCCTGCTCGCCCCCAACAGGCACCCCCTGCCAGCCTGCTCACCCCCACTGCCTCCCCCCCCTACGCTGGCCTGATCACCTCCAACTGCCCTCCCCTCCTGGCCTGATTGCCCCTAACCGCCTCTGCCTCGGATCTGTCACCATGGCTTTGTCCAGAAGGTCTCCCAGTCTAATTAGCATATTACCCTTTTATTAGTATAGACTAGAGGCCCAGTGCATGAAATTCGTGTGTGTGTGTGTGTGTGGGGGGGGGGGGGGCCCCGTGCCCCAAGCTGCATCCTCTAAAAATCTAAGACCCCTTGGGGAATGTCCAATTGCCGGTTTAGACCTGATCCCTACAGGATGGGGCCTAAACCAGCAGTTGGACATCCCTCTCCCAATCTGGTGGCTTCTAACCACTCGCCTGGCTGCCTGATCACCCCTAACCACCTCGGCTTGCTGGCCTAATCGCCCCCTAACTGCCCCCCTGCCAGCTTGGTTGCTCCCTAACTGCCCTCCTGCTGACATGGTTGCCCCCTAACTGCCCCCCTGCCAGCCTGGTCACCCCCTAAGGGCCCCCCTGCCAGACTGGGCACCCCCAAATGCCTCCCTGGCGGGTGGGGACCCCCTGAATTACCCCCTACTAAAGCGGGAACCCCCCAAATTGGTCCGGGGTAGGGTGGACATGACCTAATTACTCCTTTTTCAGGACGAAAACACCTAACAACCTCTAAAATGGCCCCCGGGGGATATTTTTTTTTTTTTAAAATGAAAGCGGGGGGGGCAGAAGGTTTTCCAGTTCACAGTCGACCCGGTCTAATTAGCATATACCCGTTTTATTAGTATAGATATATTATTATTATTTTTTTTAATCCTCACCCGAGGATATTTTTCATTGATTTTAGAGAGTGTGGAAGAGAGAGGGAAAGACTAGGGCCCAGGCTTGGGAGGAGCCTGAAACCTAGGTATGTGCCCTTCTCCAGAATCAAACCCAGGACCCTTCAATCCACAGGCCAACGCTCTATCCACTGTGCCAAATCAGATAGGGCTTCCCGGGAGACATTTTAAGTTCATAATTACATGAGATTGCACACTCCCACCCACAACTTTCTGACACCAAAGATCTTCCTTGTACACAGAATCAAGACAGGCACTGTTGGCCCCGGCTGGGTTGCTCAGTTGGTTACAATGTCCTCATACACCAAGGTTGCAGGTACAATCCCTGGTCAGGGCACATACAAGAATCAACTAATGGCCAGTTTGGCTCAGTGGAGAGAGTGTTGGCCCACGGACTGAAGGGTCATAGGTTTGATTCTTGTGAAGGGCATGTACCTCATTTACAAGATAGGTACCTGGCCAAAGTCTGGGCATATGTGGGAGGCAACAAATCAATGTGTGTCTCTTTCACACTGATGTTTCTCTATCTCTCTGTCTCTCTCCCTCCCTTCCACTCTCTCTAAAATTCAATGGAAAAATCAACCAATGAATGCATTAATAAGTGGAACAACAAATCAATGTTTCTCTCTCTGAAATCAATCAATACATTAAAAAATTTAATTAAAAAAAAGAAAGACTCTCTTGTAAACAAAGTCTGATCCCTGTGGGTGGTATTTCATGCAGCTCCAATGTATGCAGGGCCTACATTTTTTTAAGAAAAGCATAAAGGGATAAAGCCCACCTACCTCTAGTTTTTCACTGAATTCCTCTGTATAGGGAATAAATCTGCTATCTGTGTCTCCTTTGTAAAACCAAGTACAGCGTCTCACTTCAGTGGGCTCCTCTTCCCAGTACACAGCTTTCCTCACTCGGTCATAGAGGTAAACATCATAGCGCCCTCCATCCGTGTCTAGAACCACACTCTCAGGGTCTGGCTGGACTGGTTCCAGCTGCCTGGTGCCGGCCGCCATCTTGGCTGACAGTTAATTTGCATATACTCACTGATTAGCCAATGAAAAGGGTAGCGGTCGTACGCTAATTACCATGTTTCTCTTTTATTAGTGTAGATACCTTAAACCTGGCAGGAGTGGCTCAGCTGGTTGGGCATTGTCCTATGGATGGGAGGGTTGCCAGTTCGATTACCAGTTGGCACATATCTGGGTTGTGGGTTTGATCCACAGTGGGGCTGAAAACAGAAGACAACCAATATGTTTCTCTCTCACATTGCTGTTTCTTTCTCTCTCTCTCCCCACTTTCCTCTAAGCATGTCCTCTGGTGAGGAGTTAAATAAATACTTAATTTAATAAGTAATTTAAATTAAAAAAAGAATAGATTTTTAAAACATTAAAAATAAAAAGAGCTAAAGACTAATCTGTACTGATCAAAATTATGACCTTAAGTGAAGAAATAACTAGGGCAAAATTTTAAAACATGAACATAAAATAATTCAAATAACTGGTAATAAACCAAAGCAGCAACATTTATGAATCATATTTCTGAAGAATATTATTAGACAATTTTTAAGTCCCATGGTGAGATATCATCAAGATAAACAAAGACACCTTTTTTCCCACAGGACTTCTCACATCCTGAACACACTCCTGTGCACTGTCTGTCTCAAATGGGAGATGTAGTCAAGCACTTCCACACTCACCTGACCATGGAATACTTTTTCCACAGCATCTTAAGAAATAAGGTTTACATAGAAAATGCTCTATACATACAAATGAATCAGGGAAATAAGAAAATTGACACCCCCCAAAAAAGGAGAAAAAAAAATTGACACCGGGATTATATGAGCTATTCTGTTTCTCTGATTTAAAATCAGAAAAATCCTTTAAATAAGTAAGAAAATTACTAAAACACTTCTTCAGATACCTTTCTCAAATAACTCAGAACTTATATTAAAATCACCATCTTGCCAAAACCGGTTTGGCACAGTGGATAGAGCGTTGGCCTGCGGACTGAAAGGTCCCAGGTTCGATTCCGGTCAAGGGCATGTACCTGGGTTGCGGGCACATCCCCAGTAGGAGATGTGCAGGAGGCAGCTGATCGATGTTTCTCTCTTATCGATGTTTCCAACTCTCTATCTCTCTCCCTTCCTCTCTGTAAAAAAATCAATAAAATATATTTTAAAAAAATAAAATAAAATCACCATCTTAAGGTACTGAGTCTTGTGGGGTCTACGTTAAGGAATGTGACATTCACAAAAAGTAAGCCATGGATAAAGACCTTCATGTTCTCTCTCCCTAAAATCAGATCTAAGTGATGCATAGACGGTGCTTACCTGAATTATAGACTTCTTCAAGATGCAAAGAGTCCAACACACTGAAAGGCATCCAGAGCTGTCTGTGCTCTACCTCCTTGCAGTAAAACCAGTGGGGCTGAACAGGCTCGTACTGGTTTTGAAGCATAAAAGGAGGTGGCACTGGCACAGAGCCCACAGGTCTAGCGAGTGCCTGCTGCTGCGCTGGAGGGGACAGCCCTGACTGCACTGGAGGAGGAACCTGGAGGGGACGACAAAGTCAGGACCGTCATGCCAGCTCCAAGGACAGTTTCGTAGATGCTTCGGACCCATTATCAAGAGTCTGTGCATCAGTGTGATTTTAATTAAGTAAAATGAAAGCCATTCTCTGTCCCCAAGAGTAAAGTTAGGTTACACTCACAATAATAGCGCTATCTTTTAAAGGTTTCCATTTTTTTGTTTTGTTTTAGTTGATTTCCCTTTGGAAGTCAGTTGGGTATCAGTTGGGGAAAAAACATAAGGGAATTTCATAGCCCAATGTAAATGTTACTCCATTACCCTTCCGAGACTGAGGTTAACTGTCTAGATCCAAACTCCATAAATGTAAATAAAAGAAATTACTGGAGTAATCAATTTTAGTCCCTATAATTTTGTATCTTGATTGAATAGTATAATTAAAAATGAGATGTTGGCAGTCTGTTAAGATAATAATTGCTTCAACTCTCACTGGTCCTTAGATCGCATTTATCATTGGTATCTTACACTAAAATCTAAAAATTCCGGCACAGATTAACTTATTAAAATCAGTTACTACTTCAATACAGATGAGAACTAAAATGTGAACCTTCCATGAGCTACCTGTAAAAGAACATTTGCTTCAAAGCATACATCTTACAAAGAATATCCTCTGAAAATATTTTGTCATCATATATATTATAAAAAGCATTGTGCTTTTAAAAGCATAGACTAAGTAAGAGAGATTAAAAACTAAAGTGCATAATTAGGATACAAAAACATGTCTCCATACCGGTGGCAGAGATCCTGGAGGCGTCTGGTACATGTGGACAGGGGGTCCAGAGGGTGGCAGATGGGTGGGATGGCCTGGTGTTTGGCACTGCTGCAGCTGTGGTGGTGTAATGTAAGGATTCGCTCTGCTGCTTACGGGAGTATGGCGATAGGGATTGTATCCTTGTTGGGATATTCCTTGGGGTGGGCTCCCAACATTTGAAGGAGGGGGACTACTTGGCTGAGCAGGCAAATAAGCATTTGTGCCCGTCTGTGAAGAAGCTGGAGGAACATACTGAGCCTTCGAAAAGGATGGTGGAAATGTATTCAACACATCTTGGGATCCAGTTGTAAAAGGGAGAGCAGCTGGGGTCTTGGAGAATGTTGATTGTCCAGGTGATGTTGCTGCAGTTGTTAATGGTGACTGTCCAATATTCCCAAATGGATCACTACTGCTTGATACCTGAGAGAAGTAACTAAATGTCTGTGGGGTAGATGTGTGAGCAGAAGTCTGACCAAGAAAGCTGTCCTCCTCCCCAACATCTGTGGAATCCTCTGAAAGGGACAAAAGAGCAAATGGTTTAGAAGGTATGCTATCATTCTACAGACCTAGTTCTTGTACCTCTCATTGTGTTGTTCCAAATTACATGCCTGCATTTACAGGAAGAAAAAAGGAAAAACGTTTATTTTTTATTTGAAAACTTCTCTTTGTAATGAAAAACTAAAAAATATGAATAGGAAACAACAAAAGGAAGAAAAATTATAATTCATTCATAAGCCCACCACCCAGAGATAATCACCTTCAACAATATTTCGGTACATACCTTTCCATACTTTTTAAATACTAGAGTTAGACATTATTTATTTTGTAAATATATAGAAATTATACATATTTGTATATAGACGTTTTAAAAATTATAAACAAAATCTGTATCTACTATTTTACATGTTCTTGTGCATGCTCCCTTTTTTCCTGGTAAAAAATCTAATACACATAATTTTATTTCCAACATCATGACAAGAACCTAAAGTACAGATACTCACTCTGTTGACAAGAAGGGTGTGTCAGGGCTCTTACCCATAAAGCACTCACTGTACAAATGAACATGTGGAATTCGTATTCACAGGTACAGGCAAAGTAGGCCAACAACGAACTGCCATCCCTAAAATCAGAGTATCCAACCAGCTAAACCATCATGACCGAGCACCAAATCACTAGAAAAGTCATTTTCTAGCCAGGTAAGTTCTCCTCGCTTCCCTTTGCCCAACTTGATCTTCACTGCGGGAATTATCAGCATCAAACTATTTATCTTCTCTCTGCTCCAACTTGTAAAATCAAAGCATTTTTTCTCTACATAGCCTCACAAGACCAGCCTTACTAAACTCTCACGAGCCCTTAGCTTGTTGTCACTTCCACTGTCCTCTTCCTAAGCTTTTCCTTCTCCTGTTTCATTCTATCTCCTACCTCTGAAGGCATGGAGCAAATCAGAGGTGGACCCACGCCCGGCACACAGGCACACTGAGGTCCCTGCCCTGAGACCTGACAAAGGGAGCCCTCTTTCAAGCTCCGGGCTCCATACTGATCTGCTAGAGCAGGGCACGGCTTGCTGAGATTCTGGATGAAGTCTTTAGGTTGCTTCTACTGTATTTCATCAATTTAACTAAGATAATCCACTATTCCAAATACTCTTCTAGGTTGTTTCTTTGTGACTAAAAATAAAATACCTTGGCCTGCCCAAGGGCCCGTCTGCTTTTATCATTCTACTTTTCTTATGTATTTCCAGTTCTCACTCTCTTTTCAGTCATGTAAACCTCACGTGGATTCATCTGTATTTCTTTTTTTTTTTTTTTTTTTTTTTTTTTTATATATTTTATTGATTTTTTACAGAGAGGAAGGGAGAGAGATAGAGAGTCAGAAACATCGATGAGAGAGAAACATCGATCAGCTGCCTCCTGCACACCCCCCACTGGGGATGTGCCCGCAACCCAGGTACATGCCCTTGACCGGAATCGAACCTGGGACCTCTCAGTCCGCAGGCCGACGCTCTATCCACTGAGCCAAACCGGTTTTGGCACATCTGTATTTCTTCGTCCACCTCTCAACCACTGAAAACAGGGAGGAGAAAACTCTGTGGTGAGTTTCATCCTTTAAGACGACTTAGGGATCAAGTGATTCAAGAAGCTTTTTTTCTGATTAGCATCAATTATAAAGGAAATACTGATCTCATCATGATCCAGCCTCACCTCAGGGGCACTTTCTAATTACATGTGGACACACAACTTTAGTGAGCACCTACCTGTATCCTTGTGACACTCCCAACTCCGTATCGAATGAGACTGTGCTCACTGTTCCTGAACCTATTTTCCAACTGCTTCCTCGATACCGTGGCAGGCACATCCACTCAAACGTCGGACACCTAAAACGGAGTCCATCATCCTCACTGTCCTCCCATGTGCTCCTGCACCACATCTCACTAACACCACATCGACCCATCCTCTCAAACCAGAAACCACATCTCACAGACGCCTCTCCTTCTCTCATACTCTCCATTCAATTATTCAGATCCTCATTCAAGACACATGTACAAAGTAGTTATGTGGCAGGCACTGAAGCTAGGTCTTGGGGCTAAAATTGAATGAGAAGGAGCCTCTGTGTTCAAAGAGCAGACAGTCTGGTCACCAGTGTGTCCCTAAGTCCCAACACTTTTATGGTCTGAAATCTCTCCTATCCATTCCCTGCTCTTCATGCCCCATGTGGCTGATTATGGCTACAGTGCCATCCACTGCTGCCTGATTCACAATGGCCTCCAGGCTGGTGGCTCTTGCTACAGGAGGCTTTATTCTAGTGCAAGCTCACAACACTCCAGTCTTTCCAAAACACACCTCTAATTTCACTGCCTACACACACTATAGTCACACCGATCTCCTGGGAGAGTGGGAGGAGAGAGAATGTGAGCAGCTACCACCAAATCCTGACAAATCTGCAGGTTTTCCCACACATGAGACTTTTATACGCCTATCTCTCCCAATGCCCTCATTTCTGCGTACCCTTCCATACTGGTGCATGGGAGGACACTCAATCCATTGAGCTATGGTGGCTGCGACCAAATCCTTTTTATAGATGGAAAAATAATTGTTACAGAATTAGCTGCATGTATGACCTTATTTATTCCTTCAACTTCCTGCAGCCAGGCTGGTCCTTGACCAAAACGGCAATGCCTAACCTTCCCACCAGTTTTCAAAGCAAGAGGTACATATTCCTGACTCCCATCCTTTCATTCATTCAACAAATATCTATTAAAAAACTGGTCTACCGCATACCATGCCCTTCCTCATCCTTCAAATCCCTGTTCTAGGTATAGATTCCTGCTCTCATGAAACTTACATTCCAGTGGGATAAGACAAACAAATATGTGTCCCTGTCAGGTGGTGATAAGCACCAAGAAGAAACATAACACAAGTGAAAGGGAATCTGCATGTACAAGTGCCTCCAGTTTGCCCTTCACTTCTCCATGAGACTTTCGTCCTTTAAGCAAGAATAAAGTATTCAGTGGGAAAATATTTATCCTTGACTAAGAATCTATGTGATAGTCACTAAAGATCCTAAAAACAAAAAGGTAAATAAGTCGCACCTTCAAAAAGCCCACAGTCCAAACAGACATGCATGTTTATTGCACAAACATTTATATAGCACTGTGTGCCAGGCACTACACTCAGTGCCTTACAAAAATCCATTCATTGCCCTAGCCAGTTTGGCTCAGTGGATAGAGCCCTGGCCTGTTGTCTGAAGGGTCCCTGGTTCGATTCTGGTAGAGGGAAGGTGCCCAGCTTGCGGCTGGATCTTCAGTGGGGGATGTGCAGGAGGCAGCCGATCAATGATTCTCTCCCATCATTGATGTTTCTATCTCTCCCCTTCTCCCTTCCTCTCTGAAATCAATACAAATATTTTTTTAAAACTCAATTCATTTCTCGTTACAGCCCCATGAGGCTGTACATAAGTGGACATTGAAGTGTAGAGAGGTAAAGTAACATGCCTGAGGTCACAGTAAGTTACTGCAGGACTGGAGCTGGAACAGTCTATGCTTCTAAACACCACCCTCTGGGTTATGCCACATAGTTGTTAAAAAGCCATCTCTCCACAGGAATAAAGATGCCAACAAGGAGCTAAGGCGCACATAGGAGTGCGGACCCAGGAGAACAGGAAGGCGCCCAAGAGGCAGTGATGCCGAGACAGGCAGTATTCGCACAGAGAGGCACAGGATGCAACCCTCCTCTTTCAAGTTTGTGCATCCTGGGAGGCGCCCACCGTATCCTGGGGCACATCCTAGGCATCCTGAGAGGGGGCGCTAAGTCACTTGCATTTCCTGCCAGGACCTGCCACACCAGTAAGTGTTCAACAAAACCTGTGGGACGCCAGCCAGGAGTGTCCGGCCTCCGAACGGGTCCTTCAAGGGGCGCAAAGGAAGCCTTGGGACTGACCCCGCCTCCGAGTCCCAAAGCACCCAAGCCGCTCACACTTGCCCACCATCGGCCTTGGCAGCCACCCACCAGGCGGGTGGCGACCGAAGGAAAACCTCCAGTCCGACCCTCGTCACCGCAGGCCCCCGCCCCGCTCCCCGCACAGACGCGCCCCCCGGAAACCTCTCCGTATTACCTCCAGGCAGGAGCAAGGAGGCGGAGGCAGCGGCGGCCTGGGTGACCGGGATGAAGGGCACGTTGAAGGTGAAGTCCGTGGCCGAGGATGAGAAGAGTAAATTAGTGCCGGACGAGGAGGAGGCGGCACCACCCCCACCATTAGGTTTCCTCTCAGCCATGGCTGCGGCCCACCAGCCGTTACACGTCTCAGGAAGCCGGTGCAGCACCGCCGGCCGGAAACCGGTCACACTCGGGGCCAGCACACTTCCGCACTTGCGCACAAGGGCCAGAACTTTGGGCGGCTGGTCCGTGGCCGCGTTCTTGCCCCTATGTAGCGCCGCCATAAATCAACATGGTGGCGCCGGCTTCACGCCCGGATTCCTAACACGTGACTCCCCCCACGTATACGGAAGTGGGCCTGGAGGCGGAGGCGGGGGCGGGGCTGGGGGCGGGCAGCCCCAGGAAGGTGGCCCAGGGGGCTTTGCCAATGCCAGCGTGAGCTAGTCAGGCTGAGCCAGGGCGACCTTAGGGGCGCCGTCTCAGCACCCGGGCCCCTCCCCGCCCAGGCCGGCGTCCCTCTCCTCTGAGCGGGATCCCGTGGGCAGCCTGCCAGGCCGTGAAGACCCTGGAGCCTTCGTGTGGCCCCAACTTCAGCCCCTGTGCTCACAACCATCTTTGTGGCAGCCACAGGCCCCTGGTCTCCTCAGAGGTGACCTCGCGCAGGGCGCACGCTGCCTCCGCTGGCGGAAGCCGGTTGCTGAGGGTTGGAAATACACAGACATTTTTAATGGAAGCAAAATGGGGCAATGGCGTCACGGCCATCCGGGATTAAGCTCAGGCGAGGCAGGGCGGGCGCTGTGCCCATGTCATGGCAACTACAGCAGCCTGGAGGCAGAGGGGCGGCCTGGCCATGGAGGGCCTGCGAGGAGCCCAGGCTGTCAGCTTCATCCCTGGGCAGGAGCACAGGCTCTGGCCCAGCTGGTTCTGCGAACACCCCGAGGGCGGGCACCTAGCGGCTCCCAGAGCCTCCTCAGCTTACTTAATTACACACCACGAGAACTCAATCACCCAGCCAGTGTTTAACCAAGCCCGGCCCGGGGAGCCGGACGACCGTGGGGAGGCTTGGGGCGGAACCTAGAGTCAGGCAGGCAGTCCTTACAGCGAGGTGTGAAGTATCGCGATACCCAGAGACCTCGCGAGAGTCCGCCATTACTGAGGCGTTCGGTACCTTGGAGGCCGTCCGTACCTCGGTGCCTCCTGGAACGAGGCAGCCGGTGCTCTCTAGGCCGCGGTCCGTCCGTGTCACCTGGAGTCGGCTATGAGTGCGGCGTTTTGTACCCCGGAGGCCGCCATTCTGAGGCCAGAAGTCCGTACAGCGCGGGTGTAAAGTCTCAGGAGACCAGGCGACCTCGGCAGAGTCCGCCGTTGCTGAGGCATTCAGTGCCCTTGAGGCCGCCTGTACTGCCTGGCCTCCGCGAATGAGGCATCCAGGACGGGACAGGTAGCCTTTACTGAGGTCACTGGTTGCTAGCTACTAGGTTACTTGTTACTAGTTACCGGGCTACTGGTAACCAGTCCACCAGGATGACCACGTACTAGTTTTTAGGTCACTAATTACCAGGTACTGGTTGTCAGGTCACTAGGTTGCAAAGGTTCCTAGTTGCCAGCTACTAGGTTACTAGGTACTGTGTTCCTAGTTAGTACCTACTAGGTTGCTTGATAGTATTTACTAGGCTAATGGTTTCTGGTTACTATGTTCCTGGTTACTAGTTTCAAGGTGACCGGTTACCAGTTGATTAGGTTACTTATGCATGGATATACTTATGATACAAACCTTAAAGGAAGCTGTCAGTCAATTCCTTTGGAAAAAGTATCCTCTGCTCCCCTCTTGTGGCCCTTTAAAGAATAACACCTCCATCAGAATTCTGTCCGAGGTGCTGAAATTGTAACTAATGTCCTGTGAATTTGATGAAGAATTGTACCCCAAAAACACAACCAGCCCTGACCGGTTTGACTCAGTGGATAGAGCGTCGGGCTGCAGACTGAGGGTCCCGGGTTCGATTCTGGTCAAGGGCATGTACGTTGGTTGTGGGCACATCCCCAGTAGGAGGCGTGCAGGAGGCAGCTGATTGATGTTTCTCTCTCATCAATGTTTTAACTCTCTATCCCTCACCCTTCCTCTCTGTAAAAAAATCAATGAAATATATATTTTTTAAAAATACAAACAAAGACCACAGAAAACCCTAGAAAATCATCGAGGCTGTCCAGGGTGCAATTATTGTTTTTCCCCCTGGATGTACTAAAGTCACGGGTCTGGATTTTGCACCCCTTCCAGTCCCAGCCCTGCAAAGGGAGGCTTTGGCTTCTGCAGTGACATGGGGAAGCTGTGCGTTCACTAATTCAGTTCATAACCTAAAGGCTGCCATTATTGAAGCAGTCAGTCCTGGGGAGGCGGCTGTTCCCAAGGCAGCCAGTACCGGACAGGTCACCTTTCCTGAGGCATCCAGTCAGCCGGAGGCCGTTGTGATTGCGGCAGCCAGTCCCTTGGATGACCCCATTATGGAGGCAGCCAGTCTGTGCAGCGAGGTGCAGGGGTATAGGGATAAGATGTTATTTCCGCTCGACTCAGCGGCCCCTGGAGAGGCCTCGTTTACTGAGTCAGCCAGTACCCTTTGGCTGCAATGTTGGATGCAATGAGTAGCCTAGAGGTGGGCATTCCTGAGGCAGTCCTTCCCCTGTAGGCTGCTATTATTGATGCCATCAGTACCAGGGAGGCTGTTATTGTTGATGGCACCTCCAGATGCAGGGTTCTCATGGGAATGTGTTTTTACCACGAGAAAAAAAATTAATGGAAAGGTTTTTATAGAAACATAGTGAGTTTTTTAAAACTATTTTTTTATTGATTTCAGAGATGAAGGGAGAGGGAGGGAGGGAGGGAGGGAGGGAAGGAAGGAAGGAAGGAAATGGAAACATCAATTATGAGATAGAATCATGGATCAGCTGCCTCCTGTCCCCCTCCCCCCACTGGGGATCGAGCCCACGAGCAGGTCATGTGCCCTGATTGGGAATCGAACCAGGGACCTTTTAGTTTGCAGGCCGTCGCTCTACGCACTGAGCCACAGCGGTCAGGGCTACAGTGTGTTCTTTAGAATATTTATTTGTCCTATTTCCGAAAGGAAGAGAGAAGTATGAATGATGAGTGATGATCGTCGATTGGCTGCCTTCCTTGTGCAAGAAGAAAGAGTGACATGTGTTGTCATCTGCTAAGCGGAAGGAATAGGCCCTGGCCAGTGTTGCTCGGCTGGTAGACATTCGGCAGGCCAGGGAAGGGTCGCTGGTGGGATTCCTGGTTCAGAGCACATAGCTGGGATGCATGTTTTATCGCCTGCCCCGGTCTGGGCTCCTGTGGGAGTCAAAGATGCATGTGTCTCTTGCATACTCATGTTTGCTTGTTTGTTTTCTCTCTCTCCTCCTGCTCCCTCCCTTCCACGCTCTCTAAAAAAATGAATGGTGAAAACATCTCCTCTGTAAAGAATTAACGAAAACATACACAAGAAAAAAGTACAAAGAAGGAAAAGATTTGGAGGGTGTGAAAAAGCACCATATCTGCAAAGAAAGGCACCATGATGAGCAGAGCATTTAGCTCTGCTGATGTTTTTCCATGCAATGTGTTTATAAGATAAAAATAAAATGTTCGAGTGTCCCTCAGCTGCCAAGTTCCTGACACAACACGATGAGGCCACTCTAGCAGGGTCCTTGCAGGGTCTCCCAAGCCAGCACGTCAGGGGCGAGGCTCTCGGGGGCGAGGCCGGGAGGAACAGGGGAAAGCGAGGTGTGAAGGAGGCGGGAAATGGACAGAGGAGGGTCGTGTAGGTGTTCCCGTCTACTGTGTGGTGTCGCTGCTCCCAGAGTCCCCCCCACTGAGAAGATGCGAGCAGACTCAGCTGGTGTCGGTGACCGAGGGACACACAGACCTAGGGACACACAGACCGAGGGCCAGACACACCATGGAAGCCTCAGTGGCCAGGAGAGGTGACATCGGAGAACGTGTGGCCAGGGTGCTGGTTCCTCGTATCCTCCTGGAGGTACCTTGTCAGTGTTTTTTGACTCCAGAACCATGTATTTCATTTCCCCACACAGCCCCTACTTCATGGTGACTCTGTCCAAGACATAAGACCTGTTTGGACATCCATGTACACAAAAGTTGTTTGGAAAGTGGTGTCCAAGTTGTTTTATGTAGTTATGATCTGCCAAATCCATGAGAGCCAAGCAGTTATGTGTTTAATGTATTCTACATTTGTATTCTAGATAGATTTTATTTTAGAAAATGACATTTTTCGTACCAAGCTGCCTTTGTAAGTGTCATTAAATGAGCATGTTAAAAACTTTGTAAGTGTGGATGTTTTACTTGGCCAATGTTTAGAAACTTGGTCAGTATGAGTGTGCATCGCTGCCCAACTGAAGTGTTGGGGGTCATGTGTTGTGAGCCAAGCTGAATCTTTGGGAGCTCCATGACTGTCCCCGTTGTTGAGACAGCCTGCATGGTTGTCCCTTCATTGTATGTTATGAAGCACTAGGCAGAAGGTAGAAGTCGAGTTGTGCCGGGGTCCAGGCCCAGCGGTTCAGGGGTCCGCGAAGGTGTGGACGGCATGGGCGAAGAATGAAGGGCACGGAGACAGCGTTGAGCTGATCAGCATCCTCAGGTTCTGTGTTTATGGGCCTGTTCCAAGTGTGTTTATCGTATTTGATTCTATAAGCATGCGTCCATAGTTCCATCACGGTATGTTTTGTCTCCTCCTTTGACCTGTTAAAGTTTCTTGTTTGATGTTTCCAGTTTCTTATGTGAGCTTTGCCCAAAATCTCCTTTCTGTTTAGCTCTGCGTGTTTTAATGTTATTTATTGTCTCTCTTTGTCCATTGTATTGTAAAGGTTAGTGTGTGTGTTCCATGATCAGGGCTAGTTTGTTATTTGTATTGTATGGTTGCTATTGTATTGCTGCAGTGTGAAGGTCTAAGGCCAAAGCGGAAGGAGGTTTTCGTATTGTGTGTCGTAAGTCCAGGTTGTGTAGGTTCAGCATGATTGTTGTTAGGTATGGTGATGAACGATGTGCCTGGCAGTTTGTTGAAGTGTTTGTGGTTGCCTAGGTCGCCTAAGAGTGTGGTTTTGGCTGCTGTTTTGATGTTGTTGTGTTTTTCATGTTGTGAGTTGTTTGTGATTGACTTGTTGAAAATAGTGAGACCTCCTGTATGTAGTGATGTAGGTATGTCTCTTTGTCCTTTTCCGTGTTGCAGCCTTTGAAGAAGCTGTTGGTGAGAGGTTGCAAGTTGCAGATGTGTTAAAAAGCATATTGTATTGATGTTTCACGTCGAGGCAAGAAGAGGGCTAGAGAGTGAGAAACATGGATGAGAGGGAAAGATCCATGAGCTGCCTCTTGTGCATCCCGTACTGGGTATGTGGCTGCAAGGCAGGTTGATGGCCCTGCCGGCTCCATGATTCGAGCGGTGTCTGTGTGGGAGGCTGAGAGTGAGGTTGTGTGCGCTTGCAGGATGTGAGGAGAGTCCCTCCCCCCCAGGTGTGATGTGGGAGGTGCCAGAGTGTCCTGGAGGAGTGATGGTGTCTGAGGTGCGGCCGCTGAGGCTTGGGTCCCGTTTGTTGGTGTGACTTTTGTTTGTGAGGTGAGAGCCAGTGCCACCCCGTCCGTGTGTCCTGTGTGTTGTTGTGTCCTGAGCCGTTTTGTGTGTGCCATTGGGCAGGTTGAGTGAAGGTTGTGGTAGAAATGATGTGTGTTAGGTGTCCGCCTATGTCCCCGTGAGTCGTGTTGCGGCTGTGATGCCAGGTCCGATCGTGGTGTTTGTGGGGTTTTGCTGCGTCCTGCCCATGGTGTGAAGTCAGTGCAGATGAAAGGGTGGAAACATGTGTGGGTATT